TTCCTCCCCCCTCCCCCTCCTCCTCGTTCGCAACTCCCTCCGGTGGCCGCGTATGATTTTCTGGGCGAACAGGAAAACCCAACCAGCGCGCACGACAACCGGCCAGATATGAGCGCCCTCTGTTCACGCGCACGGGGGCGCGCTCTTCCCCTCTCCGTCTAAGGCGAAGCCAGGGCGAGGATGCTGTCGGGTGGGGGTACGGTGAGGGCACTGCATAAGGAACCACTGCATAAGGATTCCAGGCTCTGAAGAATCAGTGGAGCACCAATTGAATCTTGGCCATGGATAACAGCACCTCCCTCTTCATTTGAGGAATCCTCCAGGGACTAAAGCCACCTGGACACATTCCTCAATTAACGCCCACACCGTAAATTAGAAATCTCTGCGACCTGGCGGCTCTGGAGGATGTATCGGGAGCCGCGGCCTTCGCTTATCTCGGGTATCTTCTGACCCGGGCCAATCCAGACCCAGGTCGGTCAGGCCTTGCAGGATCCTGCAAGATCCTGCAGGATCCTGCAGGGTCTCGCACGCTAGCCCTGGTCAATGCAGCCCTGGCTTTTCAGGATCCTGCAAGATCCAGCGCTCTGACTGACCCTCGTTTGCATTGACCCCCGTCTCTCGAGCCCCGATTATCCTTGTCCTAGCCCCGTCCCGTCCTCCCCTACCGCGGCCGCCCTCCTCCGCCTCGCCCGCATCTCCTGCCGCATCTCCTGTCTCGACTCGCCTCTGCGCGTCCCGATTCGGCCCCATCAAGGCCGCGCCGTGCGCCAGCGCCGGCGCCGCGACAGAACAGAATGAACGCATGCGAGTAGGGACGTCAATCTCAGGCGCTGGCGGCGATGGGGGGGGGCCAACACAGGGTCACCCGGCCCCTCTGGGGCCTGCACTCACTTTTGGGGGGTCTCGGAACGGTGCGGTGGCAGAACGTGCGGTGACCTCGGAATCCCCAGAAAGACCTCACCGCACGGTCCGCAACCCACAGTTTTGGGGCCCTGGAGGCCCCAGTCGCACGAGACGTCCTCGGAGAATGTCCCGAATCCCAAAACCGTGCGGCCGCCCCGGATCCCGCTGCCTCACAGCAGGGTGTCGTCACCGCACCTTCTGGGGCCTCCCGGAGCTTGCCGACGACGACGCGCTGGGCCCCCTCCCCCTCCCCCTCCCCCTCCTCCTCCTCTCCCTCCCCCTCCTCCTCCTCCTCCTCCTCCTCCTCCTCCTCCTCTTCCTCCTCCTCCTGCAGTCTGCATCCACAAGAGGACGGTGCTGAGGCGAGGCCAGCGCCCACGCGCCGAGGGCCCAGGCGAGCAGGCGCCGCGGGCACCGAGGGTAGGACCACCGCTGCCTCCGGCCCAGGGGCCGACCGGAGAGGCCGTGGGGGCGAGGGGGACCTCGCGCACGGCCCGCGAGATGCGGTGCGGAGGTGGACTGTGGGAAAAAACACAAAACACACACACACACAAAAACACACACACACACACACACACACACTGTGGAGAAAACACACACACACACACACACACTCTGTGTTTTTTGTGTTTTTTGTGTGCTTTTTTCCCCACAGACTTGTGTGTGCTTTTCCCACAGTGTGTGCTTTTTTCCCACAGGAGGGGGGAGAATGAGGCTGTGCGGGCGGTGGGAGCAGGGTGGGGGGTGCGTGAGGGGTTCTATTGGGGGGCACGTGCCCCACGTGTCTGCACACCTCGCGGCGGGCGCCCGAGGCGCGCGCACCGGTGGAGGCACCGAGCAGGAGCCCCCGTGACGCACGGTGGCCGCGGGGCGCTCGGGGAAAAGGAAAACAGCACAGCACACCGCGGTGGACACCCCGAAGACACTGCGACACCACGGTGCACGCACCAGCAGGCCGCCAGCCGGAGGACTTCAGGAGGATGAGGAGGGTAAGGATGACGAGGAGGAGGATAAGGAAGAGGAGGACGACGACGACGAAGTCTGGGCCGCCAGCGCCCAGTGGCGCTCAGGGGGCCCTTAGGAACGCACAATCTGGCAATCACGTCTCGCACAACACGAAGCGAAAAATACGAAACGGGTTTCGCCAGGCGGGGGTTGTGAAGATAGCCTCTCACAGCCTGAGGCCGCCAGCAAACCCAAATGTCTGAGCTGCGAGGTTGCACCGCAACAGGTCTGCACAACCACAGCCAAAGCCACACGCCCACACGTACACGCAAGCGCACCCGGCCCCCTATACTTCCTCTCTAGCAGACAGGGCTGTTATGCTCGCGCAGCGCCCGAGGCTGACAGCAGGCAAGCACGCATGGAACGAGCCCGAAGCTTCCTTTCTCCTCCACGCACGGTGGCGGATGTACCGACGGCCATTCGATATTTGACGATATGGGCGCCCGGCCAAGATATCTTCCTTCTCTGTCTCCCCTCCTCCTCCTCCTCCTCCTCCTCCTCCTCTTCTTGCTCATCCTTCCCCTCCTCCTCCTCCCGCTCCTCCTCCCCCTCCTCCTCCTCCTCTTCCTCCTCCTTCTCATGTTCCTCCTTCTCCGACGCCCTCCTCTCGCTTTCATCTACATCACCATCACCGCGGCAGCCCCCCCCCCCCCCAAAAAAAAAACCATGGGAACCTATCTGCACTTCCCGGGGGTCGGCGGCTGCGGCGCACGCCTGCCGAACCTCCTCACCATCCGTCTTTGCCCCCAGCCAGCCAGGAGGAGGGGGCGGAGGAGGAGGAGGAGGGGGAGGAGAAGCAGGAGGAGGAGGAGGAGGAGGAGGAGGAGGAGGAGGAGGAGGAGGAGGAGGAGGAGGGGGAGGGGAGGAGGAGGAGGAGGGAGGAGGGGAGGAGGAGGAGGAGGAGGAGGAGGAGGAGGAGGAGGAGGAGGAGGAGGAGGAGGAGGAGGAGCCCACTGACCCTCCCTGGGCGCCACTCCGCCCATCTCTCCGAGCCCGGCCCCGCCAAAGGCGACGAGAGCGTGGCGCGAGGAGGCCCCGAGGAGGTGGGGAAGGAAGGCCCCGAAAGCACGGAGCACTGCGCGCGGAATGCACGGAAGTTGTTTTCGGCGGATGCCGAAGCTGGCCCACAACTCCTCGTGCCGCCCACATGCTGGCCATCGCTCGGACGTCCATTCCCTGTGTTTTTGTAGGTTTCGTGCGTGGTGTTGTCGCCAAATGATCAAGGATGCCACCCACATGCCATGGGCTGCGAATGATGGCCTCCTGGCAAGTGGGCGAGGCCCCCTCTTCTCCTCCCCTCCTCCTTCCCAGATGTCCAGTGTCGCGATCTGTTCCATGCGTGGGCCACAGACCTCTCAAGCTGTTCCCAAGACAACTGTTCATCCTGGAATCTTTTTCGGTGGCCAGGACTGTACGAAACGGGCCTCTGGACGCGGAGACTTCGAGGTGACGCCAATTTAGAAACGCACAATGTCTGCGGCCCGGGCTCTTCTATACAATATCGCGCATCCATACGTCACTATCGATCTGACGGTCCCCCCCGTCCTGCAGTGCGAATTGCGGGCGTACTGGTGGTCCCCGCACTGGGGGCACATCCAGTCTCCTCTCAGAGCACCTGGGGGGTGAAGACGGGCGGGGAAGAGGAAAGCTCCTAGAATCCTTCTCTTCGGCGGAGGAGGGGGGAGGACGACGACGAATGACGAGGGCGTTTGGCCGAGGCTGCGCTTCGCCCGCAGGGGGGGCAGGTGGAGGGCAGAACCGGCCCAGCCGTTCTGTGCGTCGCGGACACGCGCCCCTCGACCACGATTCTCGTCCGCGGCTCGAGGCCCGCGGCTGGCACAGGCGATCACGCTCGCATAGGCCTTGGTGTCGTACCCCCCTCTTGCGCTTGGCCAGCGCCAGGCGCGAGCTGGGAGCTCACCAGTCGGCAGAGAGAGTCGTTCAGCAAGAAGACGTCGGGTCGGGCTTCGGGGTGGAGGTGCCCATGCGGCGACAATGAGTCGATCACGAAGTGGGAACTACAAGTGCGGAGGCCACTTCAACCAGAGGATCAGTCTGGTGTGGGCGCGCCGTCCTAGGAGCACGGGCGCCAACAAGTCGCCGTGGCAGGACCAGTCTCAGATTCTGCAGCCCTCCATGGCATCCATCAACAAGTTGATATCGGTCGTCCCTCCTATATCGCTCCAGGAGGCAGAGGCCAGCCTGACGTGGGACCCGCGGCCGACCGAAGAGTCCCGAGTGGCGGCGTACCGCACGAAGGCCCGACAGAAGGTGGAGTCGCTGGCAATGTCGGCGATCGCGTCGGAGACGGCTGGCATGAACGACAACGAGGCACGCTACGAGATCAGCACGGTGGAAAGCTGCCCTGGTGCCGCTCAAGCCGAGGGCCCAGCAGATTGCGGGCATGAGGAATCGGAAGGCGCTGCAGCGCGGGCGTTTTCGGTCCTTCCAAATAGGCCCCAAATCTACGACATCACCGCCGGAAAATACATCGCAAGTGATTACACATCCAGTGTCGATTCGCTGAGTTCTTGGGCCGCAGAAGGCCCCGGTGTTCTGTTCTGCGCCGCTGTGCGATGCCATGCTTTGCGTTGCAACGCTTTGTGATGCAATGATTCACTACGCAATGCCACGCCATGCTATGACATTCTACGCTCTGCCGTGCTCTTCCACACCATGCCATGCCGTGCTCTACGATGCATCGCGCACCCTCTCGCGATCATTGCCCTGCTCGACGTCCGCCTGTGCGAATAGAGAGGAGATCTACGTCATGGTAAGGGATGGGAGAAATGGGTCGGACGTCAGTTATGACGAGAGCGCACCTAGCTCGTCCTCCTCCCCTTCCTCCCCTCCTCCTCCTCCTCCTCCTCCTCCTCCTCCTCCTCCTCCTCCTCCTCCTCCTGTGGACTGTGGACTGAAGGCGCAAGAGTCGGGCCGTCGCCGTCCTCCCCCTTCCCCAGGGCTGGTCGGCCTTGGAGGGGTTGATCCAACGGAAGCCGGGCGAATCTTGGAGCACCGCTCCAGGAGCCGTCGGCTGGTAGAAGTAGACAGTAAAAGAACAGGGAGGACCGACAAACAGTCATTTCCTCCTCCTCCTCCTCGTCATCATCATCATCATCACCACCACCACCATCATCATGATCATCAGCATCGTCATAATCAACATAAGCATCAGCATGAGCATTAGCATCATCATCAGCAGCAGCATCCTCCTCATCATCATCATCATCATAATCATCACTTCCACCATCACCATCACCAGCATCGTCTTCAGCTTCAGCATCATCCTCAGCATCATCCTCACCAGTATCACCATCACCATCACCATCACCAGCACCAGCATCACCACCACCAGCATCAACATCATCATCAGCAACCGCACCATCATCATCATGATCATCATCATCATCATCATCATCATCATCATCATCATCCTCATCATCATCATCAATCATCATCATCATCATCAGCATCAGCATCATCATCATCATCATCATCATCATCATCATCATCATCATCATCATCGTCAGCATCAGCATCACCATCATCACCATCATCATCATTATCAGCAGTATCAGCATCAGCATCAGCATCAACATCACCATTATCCTCCTCCTCCTCTTTCTTCACCTCCTCCCCCTCACTCTCCTCCTCCTCCCCCTCCTCTTCCTCCCCCTCCTCCTCCTCCTCCTCCTCTCCTCCTCCTCCTCTCCTCCTCCTCCTCCTCCTCCTCCTCCTCCTCCTCCTCCTCCTCCTCCTCCTCCTCCTCCTCTCTCTTCGTCTCTCCTCAACCCTCCCTGCGCCCCCTCCCCTGCCCCTTTCACCAGGTGGGGCCTGGCCGAGCTGGGCCTCCCGCCGGAGGAGCCCACAATTAGGCGGCTCTGAGAAGCGCCGCGGGGCACCGCGGGCAGGCGCGGCCCCCCCCCCCCGCGAGGGCAGGGTCCCTTGGCCTCCCCGAGGTGGTGCGCGAGCTCCTGCGTGACCCCAAGGGTTGAGGGGCAACGATCGTAGGGGAACGAAAAGTGGCATAAACATAACAACCCGGAGGTCCGCGCGGATTTCTCGGATCGGCGCTGGGGCCCCCCGGCGGCGCCTTCGGCGCCGCCCCTGGCGCGCTCCGCGTGCCAGGGAGGGGGGTCCAGCGCCGATCCGAGAGATCCGCGCGGACCTCCGAGTTTTTATGTTTATGCCACTTTTTGTTCCCCTAGATAGGGGGGGGTGCATCGACCTGGAATCGGCGATGCATCGCCGATAGATCGGCGACAGGCCCCCGACGGTGAATCCGCACCCTGCTGTGCAGGTTGGGGCTGTCGGGCCCCTATCTGTTGGCGTGGGCGATCGGGGGTCGATGCATCCCCCCCTGTGCCTATCCCCCCCTATTGCCCCCGAAGGGTAACACGCTGTAGACTGCATGCTCCACCGCTGCTGATGGCATCTTTTGTTTTACTTGGAAGTGAGCGCGTCTGCCACGCGACGAGAGGTCGTGCGGTGGGACGGAAGGTCTCCTGCCCGCCATGTGGATTGTGAAGTCCCATGTGGGGCTCGAGCTGCACGGAATATCGTGTGCGCTCGCTCCAGATTTCTTCATTACCTCGGAACTGCTGAGTATCGTTTAACCGATCCTCATCCCCAGCTGCGTGGCCTGGGCCCCACTGGCCGATAGGCCGTTCCCTTCGGACTTCGAGGGGTGTATCCCCAACTGGGGTGGTAAGTTGGTGGGGGTCTCGAAGGGGATGGGGATGGGGATGGGGATCCGTCAAACGATACCGAGCTGCGCAGGTACTCGAGCAGGGTGCTGCCTTGGACGCGCGACGCGCGTGAGCTACCGCAGGCGGGCGGGGGGAAGCGTGCCTCCCGCCCCATCCCCCTCCGGGGCCCGGGTGCCACCGTGCCGCTCCTTCCTGGCCCGAGCCACCTCCGTTGCCCTGAAACATCCCGTCCGAGCCAGTCCAGTCCTCCTCCTCGGTTCCATATCCAAGCCGAGCCAGGCCAATCCTTACCAGCATCGAACCTATCCCTATCCCTAAGATTGACACGCTAAAAGGAGATGACAATCTTAGGGATACACCCTCAGAAACTGAGGAAATCCCTGAGATCGCCATCGTGATGAGGCGATGCCCAACATAGGGATAGGGATATGTTCCAGGCTGGTAAAATCCGATCCGATCTGCCTCGGGACATCGACTTAGCCACAACAGCTGCTCCGGATTCCAAAACAAAGCGGAGGGGTCACATTTTGGGGGGGGGGCTGATTTGAGCTGTCTTGGAGGGTTCGGGAGGGTCTGGGCAAAGGGCCACCCTTTCATGGATGGTCTGGGGGGGTCTAAGACTTCTCGTCTGGGAGGGTTGTGACCCCCTTCCTTCTTTTACGAAACCTGGGGTACGGACCTACTGCTCGCTATGACATCTGCGCACGCAAACATGGATCAGCGCTCCATGGATTTGGGGCGCGGTCGCCAAATCCATGCCCTCCCCAAAATGCGGCCGGTGCCGCCTCGCTCGGCGGCGGAAACCCGCGATCTCCCGTGGAAACTGGGCCCGTCGCTAATCCACGCCCCCTTGATCCATGTTTGCGATCGCCTGAGCAATGCTGTCACACCATGCGTTGTCGTCAGGTGTCAGGCCACTGGGCCCCCGCGGGTCGATCCAGCTCGAGAAATGTGGCAGGAAAATGGGATCAATGGCTCTGGTTGTGCCTAGTCGAGGTGGAGCATTCGTTCTTAACGTCTGGTCTCAGACATCTCGCTGGATGTTCTTTCCCCTCCACTCTGGCCCGACAATGAGAGGAGGGAAACACGGCATGACCATGCACTTTCGACGGTGCGCGCAGATTTCTCTTGGGCATGCGCTGGAGCCCCGTCCCTTGGCACGCCGAGCGCGCCAGGGGCGGCGCCAGGGGCAGCGCCAGGGGCGGCGCCAGGGGCGCCGCCGGGGGGGGGGGGTCCACGGGATCCGCGAGGAGCGTCGAAGGTGGACGCTTATGCCGTCCATCAAGGGGCCCCAGCACACACAAACAACCAACCACACACACGAATCTCAGGATTCCCCACATGTCTCAATCTTTCCTGGAGCTTCGTCTTCCCCCCCCCCTTCCCATACTTGCTTTCCCATATCTTTTCCTGGGAGCCGCCGATCCACTGTGTCTGCGTGTTTTTGTTCCCTCCTGCATGGATCTTCCCTCCCGCAGGAACCGCAGGGCCACGGGGCAGGAAGCTTCCAGGGCAGCTCTTTGTGCTCGACGCGTCTGGTCTCGTTTGGGCCTCTGGAGGCCCCTGGGGGGTGATCCTCTCGCCCCTCTCCTCTGGGGGGGGGGGGGTCTGGCCTCTCCCATGCAGCTCCCTGCCCCGCGGCCGCGCGGAGCCTCCTGCATGTATCTGCACCCGGCACAAGCGCCCCACAGCGCCGAACCCCCCAAGGGGAGGCGCGGGGCGCGAGGTGGGGGCGCCGACGGGCAGCGCGGCGGCCGCCGAGGGCACCTCCGCCGCCGCCGCCACCGCCGCCGCCTCCTCCCGCCGAGTGTCCCGCCATTACCAGCCTGGAACATATCCCTATCCCTATGCTGGGCATCTCCTCATCACGATGCCAATCTCAGGGATTTCCTTATTTTTTTGTGGGCGAATCCCGCCGCCGCGGCCATTGCCGCCGCCTCCTCCTGCCGAATGTCCCACCACCACCCCAAATGACAACGACCTCCTCCTGCTGCCTGCTCCTACTGTGATATACTCTTAAGTCGGGCTTGTCCCCCGTACAGGGGGATTTTCGACAGAAAAAAAACCCAAAAATAGCCAAAACATAATCCAAAAATAGTCTAGGGCCTATTTTCTATTATTATGTGTTGACCTTCTTGGGGTATTTCTGGGGTACTTTCTATTTTTCGTCGGAAATCCCCCTGTAGGGGGACAGGCCCGACTTAAACATGCTCTTGGCCTCCCTCCTCTGACGGAACATGCTTCAGCGTCTCGGGCCCACCACCACCCCAAAGACAACGACCTCCTCCTGCTGCCTGCTCCTACTGGATCTATACTCTTGGCCTCCCTCCTCTGACGGAACATGCTTCAGCGCGTCTCGGGCCCTTTCTGGGCCTCCGAGGGCCGCCGGAGGCCTCCGCGAGGCCGACGCGGGATCGACCTCCAGCGTCAATAATCCCCTGGGGACCTCACGTCGTCGTCGTCGTCGTCGTCGTCGTCGTCGTCGTCGTCGTCGTCGTCGTCGTCGTCGTCGTCGTCGTGGTGGTCGTCGTCGTCGTCGTCGTCGTCGTCGTCGTCGTCGTCGTCGTCGTCGTCGTCGTCGTCGTCATCGTCGTCGTCGTCGTCGTCGTCGTCGTCGTCGTCGTCGTCATCGTCGTCGTCGTCGTCGTCGCCGCCGCCGCCGCCGCCGCCGCGGCCGCCGCCGCCGCCACCGCCGCCGTCACCGTCTCGAGGCTCGAGGGCGCGACGCACCGTCGCATCGTCGGCTTCGCCGCCGCCGCCGTCTGGAGGCTCGGCACTGGAGGAGTTTGGGGGTCCTCGGCATCTCCCTGGACCTGCGGAAGCTTCTTCGGGTCTTCGTCGTCGCCTCAGCGGTCGTCGTCGTCGCGCTCCTCCTCTCCCTTCTCCTACTCCAGACACGCCTGGGGCCCGGCACGAACGCTCGCCGTCGACGAGACGCGGCAGACAGCACCATTCCCCGGTGCTCTGCTCCCGGAAGCCGGACACACGAGGTGGCCGGCTCGGGCGAGAGCTTGGCAAATGTGTGGCCGCACGTCTGGCCAACTCTCGGCCCTGCGGGCAGTAGTGTGCACGGATACGGCAACCACCCTTGCTTGTGCGTATCAAGCCAATGGCCTCCGCATGTTCCGTGCGCGAATCCAGCAGTGTCTCTTCGACTTCTGCGTAGATCATCGACGAGGGGCTCCCCTGTGAAGCAACGAGGCGTGGCGAACCTGACTACTCCGTCTCACGGAAAGCTGCGTGCACGTGCGATGGGGATCCGAGCCAGAGCGAACAGCACAAGAGACGGAGCGCACGGCCGTGGACAGGCACCATGGCAGAGGGGCTGCGCGGGATGTGCAGCTGGGAGGAGTAGGAGTGCGAGGCCGATGCTTAAGAGTAGCTCGAGCATGTCGTGGCCTTCGGGACCAGTTTCTCATCCTGAGCCGTTTCTTAAAAGGCCTCCAGGCCGAGTAAGGGCCCCCGGAGGCCGAAGATGATGAAAAACCTCCCGTCGTGATTCTTTCACAACGCGCGCAGGTCTGGGAACAGAACTTCGTACGGTGGACCTCTTCCTTTGGGGATCCCGAAGCCGTGTGGTGACAGACCGTGCGGTGACCTTGGAACCAAAAGACCTCACCGCACGGTCCGTCACTTCACGGCCTTGGGACCTTGGAGGCCCATGTCGACCGAGACATCCTCGGAGAGGGACTCGAGCCCCAAAACAGTGCGGTGACCCCGAATTCCCACCGACTCACCACACGGTGTGGTCACCACTGGGGGAACGAACAATGACATAAACACGATAACTCAGAGGTCCGCGTGGATTTCTCGGATCGGCGCTGGGGCCCCCTGGCGGCGCCTCTGGCGCCGCCCCTGGCGCGCTCCGCGCGCCAGGGAGGGGGCTCAGCGCGGATCCAGGACACGCGCGGACCTCCGAGTTCTCATGCTCGTGTCATTGCTCGTTCCCCTGACCACACCGCCTGGGGGCTTCCGATTCCTGGCCTTATGATGTTCCCACCTACTCTAGCATCGATCACCAGAAAAATTTCGAGCACCAAAAAAAGGGCCGAAGCTAGGGGGTTTGCACGTGTCGGGCCCTGGGGGACACTCGCCCGACACTGTTTCGACGCTTTTCCGGGTGCTCCGAATTATTTCTGGGATGTGGTCCTTAAGTACGATGGCAGCAGCATAATTGAAGGGGCCCACAAACACGCAAATACATACACACACAGATGTAATGGGAAACCCCAAATTTGTCCTATATTTTCGGGGTTCCTGTCTCCCCCCCCACTTCCCACATCTTCCCCTATTTTCCTGGGAGTCGACGATTACTTGTGTCTGTGTGTTTTGTTTCCCCTCCTGACATCATCCTCGCCCCGCCTCGGCCCCCGGAGCCCCCAGCCCCGGCGCCTCGCTCGATGCCCGCCTGTGCTCTCTCCCCCATAAGAGCTCTGCCTGGCCCGCCCAGCTCTGGACCGGAAGAGGCTCGCTCTCGACCCGCAGACCAAAACAGCGTGTTGAAGTTTTTCCCCCTCCTGACACCATCCTCTCGGGTCGGGCGAAAGGGGGGGATAGCAAAGGGGGGTTTGAGAATCAGCTCACGTAGCTGATGTTCCCGGCGCCTCCCGGCGCCGGAGGCGACTATGTATCGAGGAATGGGCCCCTCGGTGAGGCCGAAACCAGCTGCATGCAGCAAATTTCGTAACCCCCCCTTTCCCAATCCCCCCCCTTTCGTCCGGCCCGATCCTCGCCCCGCCTCGGCCCACGGCGAAACCCGGGCCACGGCGCCTCTCGCTCGACACGCCGCGAGGCCGCTCTCCCGCCCCGCTGCTCCTCCTCCTCCTCCTCCTCCTCCTCCTCCTCCTCCTCCTCCTCCTCCTCCTCCTCTTCCTCCTCCTCTTCCTCCTCCTCCTCCTCCTCCTCCTCCTCCTCCTCCTCCTCTTCCTCCTCCTCCTCCTCCTCCTCCTCCTCCTCTCCTCCTCCTCCTCCTCCTCCTCCTCCTCATCCTCCTCCTCTCTCCTTCGCTTCCTCCCCCCCCCCCCCCGCGCCTCGGCACACGGCGGCGGCGCGGGCGGCCACCGGGGCGGGGGCCCGAGGCGCGGGGGCGGCCGCCGGCACTCCCCGAGGAAGTGGGACCTCCGGGCGCCGCGCGCGGGCGGCGGCCGGCCGCAGTCTGCTCCACGCGAAGGTTTTTTTTTGCAATCCTTCGTTCAAGTGTTTTTTTTTTTTTTTTGCAATCCTGGGTTTTTTTGCAATCCTTCGGGGCACACCGTGCTCTTTTTTGCTGTTCTCCGAAGGCGTGCGGCGCGATGGCACCAGCCCGACATCGTCGCTGTATTATGGCTTCAAGAGAACTCTCGCAGGTCGATGCTCCTGTTTTCAAAAAAAGGTCCCGGACAGAATCCACGGCCTGCTCAAGTGCGACGGCCTCTGCGGTAAAGGATGAAACTGGCCCGCCGGCGGGCGGCCCGCTTTCGCCACTGCCCAGGCCTCACGGTGTGGGCGCACATGGCCGCCACGGGCGCTGCAGAGCGCCCGCGGCCCCCAGCTGAGACCAGCCTCGGGCGAAGCGGCAAGTGGCTGCCAGGGGCGCAGCGCTGCGGGTCGGGCACGGAGTGGTCGGGCAGGAGGCCTCGCGCAAAAAGGCAGGAGAGCCCAGAATCGGATCGAGATGGAGCGGATCGGCGGAAATCGGCAGCCACGTCGGGAGAGGTCGAATCGGCAGGAATCGGCAGGCTAGTAGGCCTCCATGGAGGAATCGGGATTCAAACCGGAATCCGAAGTCGAATCGGATCGGAATCGGTATCCATCAAAAACGAATCGAAACGAATCGGAGGAATCGAAATGAGCCCTGCAGAGGGGGGGAATGGTTTTGTTACTTGTTTTTTCCGACTACGATGCCCTACGCTACGACGCCCTACGCTCAAAGTAATACGGGAGGAAAAGGTACCCATATCGCTACCCTTCCCTCGTTCCTCCCTTTTGGGGCCTCCTGGGATGCCCTCGCCGCCACCGCTGGATTCCCCCCGAAATCCTGGTCAGGACGCACCCCGGGAGAGATGCGGGGGGTAGCGGCATCGGCACCCCTCAGTTTCTCCATAGAGTAGGGGCCCGACCAGAAGAAACCTTCCACGAGAAACCCAACCCCGAGACCCCATGGGATGAACATGAATTCTGGTGTGGGAGCGTCACGCTTCCACTCGCAAAAGCGCCTCGGAGCCCAAGACATCCAAGGCACCCTGGAGGCAGGCAGGGTGCTCCTTGGCATGGGTCTCCAGCCTGCCATCGCTCGGACGTCCATTTCCCGTGCATTTTTCGATTTCGTGCGTGTTTTTGTTTGCTCGATGGTCCAGGATGGTCCTCGATGGTTTCCGCCGAGAAAAAAGGCACACGTCCGAGCGATGCCAAGCCAGCGTTATGGGCCTCGCTCCACGCACGCCACCCCGCCATGCTCGGGCTGGGCGAAAAGGAGGGATAGCAAAGGGGGGGGCTTGAGGCTCAGCTCACGGAACCGACTTCCCCGGCGCCTCCCGGCGCCGGAGGCGGCCATGCATGTCGAGGAATGGGCCCCTCGGCGGGGCCGACACCAGCTGCTGGCCAGCTGCATGCCGCCAATTTCGTCACCCCCCCCCTCTCCCTCTAATTCCCCCCTCTCCCTCTATCCCCCCCTCTCCCTCTATCCCCCCCCCCTCTCCCTCTATCCCCTCTCCCCCCTCTACCTCTATCCCCCCCCCCTCTCCCTGTCTCCCCCCCTCCCATCCGGCCCGACGCGCGCACGCCGCCCCGCCGCGCGCGCGCGTGCGCGGCGGTCCGCCTCGCGTGCAGCGGTCCGGGGGGCCCCCGTGGGCCCGCACCACGGGGCGCTCTCGGCGAGGGTCGCTCTTGAGGCAGCCGCGCGCAGGGGCACGTCGGCAGCACGCGGCGGGCCGGCTCGGCGCCCGATGGCGTCGGAGGTGGCCACGAATTCTCAAGGAGCGCGCGCGGCGGCGGAGCAGGGAGCAGGGAGGAGGGAGGAGGAGGAGGAGGAGGAGGAGGAGGAGGAGGAGGAGGAGGAGGAAGAGGAGGAGGAGGAGGAGGGGAGGAGGAGGGCAGGGGGAGGGAGGAGGAGGAGGAGGAGGAGGAGGAGGAGGAGGAGGAGGAGCAGGGAGGAGGAGGAGGCGGGGGACGCTGGGGACGCTGGGGAGGCGGGGGAGGCGGAGGCACAAGGAGCAGGTGGAGGAGGCCAGGAGTTGAGGAACGCGCGTGGCGGTGGAGCAGAAACTAGGGAATCAAACTCTATACACCGACGCTTCTTTCCGGGCCTGCATCAGAATTTGCACTGGAGAGCGGATCCTGGCGTATACGGGGCCCCGGTGTATACATTTTTCGTTGTTTCCCCGGGACATCGGGGAAGAAAATATACACCACACCACCCCAGCGTCGTCCTCGACCCTCAAGAAATCCTGGGATTGAGAAAACAGCCCGCCACTGGTAATGCATACGTTCCGGTTTCCGAGAAACCAGCCGCACGCCACAAGTTTCGCCCCCCCCCCCCTGTTCCAGTCCTCCATGTCGCCCGCCCAGGAATGAGAGGCCCGCTTCTACTTCTCGGGTCGCACCTCTGCTCAGGGCGGGGCGCACCTTGCGTTTGGTGCTCGCGCCCTGCTTTCTCCTGCGACGCCCCGTGGCTGCGCGACAAATGCAAGGCGTATGAGCCGGCCAGCCTCCAAGAAGGGAGGAGATCTTGGATGGCTGTGGTCGGACGGGCCCCTCCCCTCCGCCTCCGCGACGACGACAGCACGCGCGTGCATCCAGAAGCCTCCGGATGCCTCTGGAGATAATCCCCAGTCTCCCGAGGCCCAAGGATGGGGGGAGCAGACAATGAAGCGAAGAGCTGGATCCGACGACGACGACGACGGGGACGACCCCCGAGGGGCGACGGCCTGCGGTTCTGGCCGCGGTGCCGCCAGCAGTCGTCGCTCGGCGGCTCCTGCCCGGGCGCCTGCCCCAGCTGGTCCTGAGCGCACCGAGAACGGGGGCGTTGGCGTCGTCGCCACCGTAACGGTTGTCGTCGTCGCCGCCGTCACAATCGCTGTCGCCGTCGCCGCCGTCGCCGTCGCCGTCGCCGCCGTCGCTATGGTGATCGCCGTCGCCGTCGTCGATGCCGCCGTCGCCGTCGCCGCCGTGGCCGCCGTCGGTTTTGAGCCCCTGCAAGCCCTGCAGTGGCCTCCTGGAACATTTCGAATGCGCCGCGGCTCCTGCGGCTCGGGGCGCCCGGCCGCGTACTCCAGCGTCGGCTCGGTCGCGTGCACGGCGGCCTGCATGGGCATGGGCACCGAGCGTCGCTGTCGCCGCCGCCGTGGCCCCCGTCGTCTTCGTCGCCCCCGTTGTGGCCGCCGTCGCCGCCGCCGCCGTCGCCGTC